TCCAGCCCAGGTGACAGTGCAAGACTGTCTCAAAAGGATAAACAATAAAAAATATTTTCAACATTATTAATCATTATGGAAATGTAAAATAAGACCATGATGATTACTACACATCTACTAAAACAGCTAAAATTAAAAAAAAAAATCAAATGTTAGTAAGGATGCAGAAAAACAATGTCTCGTACTTTACTAGTAGAAATGTAAAATGGTACAGCCACTCTGGAAAAGTCTGTCAGTTTGTTTTAAAACTAAATATACATTCACCATACGATTCAGCAATTGTACTCCTGGACATTTAGCTCAGAGATATGAAAGGTTACGTCCTCACAAACCTGTACATGATTGTTCATACTAGGTTATAATAGCCAAAAACTGGAAGCAACCAAAATGCCCAACAGATGAATGGTTAAACAAGTTGTGGTACATTCACGCCATGAAATAGTACTCAGCAATAAAAAGGAATAAACTACTGATACATGCAACAATGGAATGGATCTCAAAAGTATTATGCTGAGTGACAAAAACCAATCCCAAAAAGTCACATACTGTATGATTCCATTAATATAACATTATAGAAAATGACAAAATTATAAAGATGGAGAACAGATTAGTGGTTGCCAATGGTTAGGGATACCTGTTGGGGGGAGACGCTAGGTAGGGGGGACTATAAAGAGGGAGTATGAGGGAGATCTTTGTGGTGATGGAATATTTCTGTATCTTGACAGTGGTGGTAATGGTTACACAAATATATGTACGTAATAAAATGATACAGAGCTACATACTTATACCAATGTCAATTTCCTTGTTTTGATATTATAATTATATAAGATGTAACCTATGAGGGAAACTGGATGAAATATACACAGGGATCTCTCTGTACTATCTTTGCAACTTCCTGTGAATCTATAATTATTTCAAAATAAACATTTTTTAAAATGCAATCGACATAATTCAAAAGTATAGAAAACATGGGAGAAATTTATGAATTTGTTGAAAAGGGTGATGTTGTAATGTTAAATGCAAACCAAAGAGGCTTGGGGTAGTCATGCTGCAGTCTAGAAAGACAGCTGGAGAGTTTGTCCAACCCTCCAAAATAGATAGTTCAACCAAACATTTACTGAGTACCTAGTATTTGCAAGACGAAGTGTTGCTTCTCAATGAATTTACTCTCTAAGACAACAAGATAGCGTATTATTAAAGACCTCTGCAAAAGCAGTTCCCTTTGCCTTGTATGCTCTTCCTCTGTCACTTTTTCTAGTTAGTTTTTACTCATTCTTAAACTCTCAGCTCAGTGTCACTTCTTCAGGGAAACCTTCCCTAGTTCTTTTCATTGCCCTTCAAATTAGATCAGTTTCCTCTATGACATGTTTGAACACCACCCTATATATTTCATTCGTAATACTAATCACCATTTACAAACTAACTGTGTGATTATTTGATAACTATTTTTCCCATTAGGCTAACATTTCCAAAAGGACAGAGGTCTGTGTAGCTTACCGCAGTATTACCAAACTCAACACCATGCCTGCCTAGCAAATGACAGAACCTCAAAGTAGTCAAACAGAATACATATATACAAAGCTAAAATTCATATGTACAAATGAGTAGACAGAGACAATAAGATTTATTGGAGTTTGGAAAAAATCCTGTTATCACTCTAACCTGAGAAAGCCAGTGAAAAGGATGCTTGTGTAGAAAATAAAGAATCACACCTATAATCCCAACATGTTGGGAGGTGGAGGCGGGTGGATCACTTGAGGTTAGGAGTTCCAGACCAGCCTGGCCAACTTGGTGGAGCTCTATCTCTAACAAAAATTTTGTATTTTTAGCCAGGCGTAGTGGCAGGTGCCTGTAATCCCAGCTACTCAGGACACTGAGGCAGGACAATTGCTTGAACCCAGGAGGCGGAAGATGCAGTGAGCCAAGATTGCACCATTGCTCTCCAGTCTGGGCAACAAGAACAAAACTTCTTCTGAAAAAAAAAAAAAAAAAGAAAAAAAAAGAAAGAAAAAGAAAAAGAAGAAGATAAAGAATCTCAAATCTGAAGCTGACTATCAACTTGGGCCTTTGGGCAAAACAAATTCACTAAAGAAACAAGAGCAGCTGTATAAAGGGTTCTTTAGGAAAATTAATGTAGAAATGGACTTGCACTGAGATGGTAAGACACTAGTGATGGTAAAAACAAGTAAAAGGACACTGTGGTAGTGCAGGCATAAATGAGGGAAGTCATGGAAACAGAAAGATATGAGAAACACTACGAATAAAGAAGCAACAGAGCTTAACAACTGGTAGGTACAGGGGGATGAAAGGAGGAAGAATCAGAGATCATTCAGGAGGTTTAACAGTGACTGATCGGCCAGGCGAGGTGCTCACGCCTGTAATCCCAGCACTTTGGGAGGCCGAGGCAGGCGGATCAAGAGGTCAGGAGATTGAGACCATCCTGGCTAACAAGATGAAACCCAGTCTCTACTAAAAATACAAAAAATTAGCAGGAAGTGGTGGTGTGTGCCTGTAGTCCCAGCTACTCAGGAGGCTGAGGCAGGAGAATCGCCTGAATCTGGGAGGCAGAGGTTGCGGTAAGCCGAGGTGGTGCCATTGCACTCCAGCCTGAGCAACAGAGCAAGACTCTGTCTTCAAAAAAAAAAGGGTGGGGGGACTGATCAGTGAAGGATAATACCATTATCAGAAATTGGGATGTCATAACTAATTCCCCTTAGGAGAAGGAATGTGCTTTGTTGGAACTGATGGGTGTCATCCACACAATTTAAGATGTACGACTGGATGCAGAACAAAGTCAAGGTTGGCAATGCAGATGTGTGAACTGATCAGTTAAGGTTATAGGAAAATCAATGAGATCTTCCAAGGAGAAGGTATAAAGAGACTCAAATGGAAATCCTTTAAAACAACTTGAATGCCTCCTTGCTAAAATTATGTTCGTTAAGTTAAAGTGTCATCCACACTATGAGATCCTTAAATGTATTTCTGATCTCATCCTCACATTCCCTAATGTACACAATACAGGGCTTGTACATAACTGATACATAGCAGCGTATTAAACGACTCAACCATTCAAGATAATTTCTGATGAATATTTTCTGTTCTAGTTCGCATTTCAAAAACCGTGATGCTCTGAGTAGTACTTTGAAAGGTACAGGTTTCACTTTAGTAAAATCTGTGAATTTAAACATTTTAAATCATGTATCCAAAGCTCCTTTCCAAGGCTCTAGGAGTGAAGATGTGACAGACCAGACTTTGGGACTATGGAAATCTCAAAATAATAATAATAATAATAATAATCCCCTAATGAGACTAGGGATAAAAGCAAAGCCTAAATAGGTTAATAGAAAATATTCTTCAAAAAGTTTTTGAATAAAATAAGCAGAAAATATTTACCAAGGAAGTGAAACAAATGAAAACTTTTAATCATATGCATTATACAAGTTGACAACATCCACAAAGTAAGCTTCAGCTGAACTGAAGGATAACTGAAATCTAAATGAATAATTAAAGGAGAACTGAGAACAGCCAAGACACATATTACTTTTTTTTTTTAATATAATGAGGTAAAAGTCATTGGCCCGCACTCCCACAAAATATTCCTGGATATTACAGTCAGTGGTGGAGTAACAGGCTAATCTGATTCAATAATTAGGTAAACAGTATTTCCTCAGTTGCAGTTTAAAGATAAGAAAAAATGACTGCTAAAATGGATCAGGGGAAAAATCTGCTGACAGCCTCACAAAATTAAATTATTGTTGTATTGAAAACTTAAGCCTTTTCAAGGTTGAGGTCTGCCACACTGCTCTAACCCTGAATCATAAGCAAATGTCCTAGGTGCTTTCAGATAGGTGAGTTTGTTTGTGGGACAAGTCAAGGAAGAGAAAAGAAACCAGCTGTAGTTACAAGACTCTAGGAACCCGACAAGTCATTTATAATCCAACTACCCTCTCAGTATCAGACTGGCTTCCACAAGTCTAAAAGATGGTCAATCAGTATTTGCCTGCTTGTTTCCAACAATAGCAAATGAACCATTGGTAAACTGACCATTCTCAGAGTCGGACAGCTCGAATTTGTTGCAAAATCCTTCGAAGTTATCTCCCAGTAACTTTCATTCCTGGTCCTGGTTCAAGAGCAACATAGTGAAAGGTGAAAGTCGTCTTTTTAAAAAAAAAAAACAAAAAACAAAAACAAAACAAAACTTAAAAAAAAAAAAAAAACAACAGGTTTTACTTCCTGGCATGTCAACACGTTCCCTTCTTTCAACAATGGGGAAATCTCACCCCTTTTTCCCCCCTTCAATGTCTGACTCCCCTTAAAGAAAAAAGGAATACCAGGCACAGGGAACATACAGTTCCTTTGACTCAGAGCCGCGACCTCTGAGCAGAGCGGAGAAAAAGGGCTTAAATAACCACATACACTAGGAAGAGTTGCAGCTGATACGAAATCACCATTGCCAAAAAGCAAACAGCTTCAGCCGGTGCCCAGGTGCTGGGACGCGATAGAAGCCACATAGACCTGGCCTGGTAGCTCAGAGGAAATAGGGGCCAAGGAGCCTGCACCTCTTCTTGCCAATGCCCGGGAGAGCTGAGCTGGTGCTCGTTTCCAGGCCGGCTGCAAGCCCGGCGCTTCACAAGGCAGAGCGGTCGGCCCCCGGGAAGCTGCATCACTAAGAGGAAGGCTCAGTGAAACGCTTGGCAAAGTCCAAGCCGCGCTGCCTGGCCAGTTGTCTGCAAGCCCAATCACCCCGCCTGCCAGACGCCATCCTGGGAACCCGCACTGGCGGGAGCTCCCAGAGTTGGAAACGTCTTTGACTCCGCCGGGGTCCCCTCTGCCCGTCTATCCAGCCTGTCCACCCTCGCTCACACCCTGGCCCAAGACTGAGCCGGGGGCCACTCCAGGGGGTGGTGCCCAGGAGACACACCACGCTTGGGAGAATGGTGGACACCGGGATGGGGCTCCCTGGAGGGCGGGCGGGCGGGCGGCTGCGGCGGGTCACTCACCGAAAGGACGCTCATGCGGATTGGGGTCTCCAGCAGGCACGCCATCTTGAGCCTTCCCACCCGGCTGCTGCCGGCGCCGGCGCGGGGGCCGGCACTTTCGACAGCCAACTATTGGCCAACGACAGGCACCTCTTCCGAAAGGCAGTCAGAACGACGAGAACGGGCCTAGCTCTGGACACCGCTCAAGTACCGGAAAGGTCCGCAGAAAGAAAAGCAAAAGGGAACCGCGTCAGGGGCCGTCCTACGAATCGTTCTCTCAGAAACAGCAGCTACTCTGAGCCTGGGTTAGAGGTGGGAGCGGGCAGCGGCTTCCGCATGCGCAAAGAAGATCTGCCGGCCCCACCTGCAGCTCGCGGTGGGCGGGGCTCCAGAGGCGGAGTCTCGTTCTGGCGCTACAAGCTCTACCGACTGATAAATTGTAGTTAGTGGGTTTGCGTATTCATATTCGGAAAAAGCAGTACGTGGAGCTACATACATAGTTTGAAGTTCGCTTTCATATTATTATCTCATTCTGCACCAAACTCCCGGCGTCGTTATGGGGAAATTGCGATCCCAGAACCAGGTCTTTTGCCAACCGTTAAGCGTGATTGTTTCACAATCCAGTGCAGAAGTGGGACTTGCCTTAGCGTTGTGTGCCGGCCCCGTTTATTCTGGTGTAGTGTTAAGAATAGCCAGAATGCTTGGGCTTCTTCCTAGCTACTTCACTTATCAGCTGCCTTACCCTGGGCAAGTTATCTAACCTTCTGTTCGAGTTTCCTCATTTGTAAAATAAAGGTTAATGAGGATAGAGGAGTCCATAAACGTAAAGCGCTCAGAAAAAGCCTAGAACATAGGAAGCGATACATATGTGTTAGTGCTTCTCCAGCTTCTGAGTCAAGTGGGAAAAATGGGGGCAAATATCCGAATATTTCACACCAAAACTCTCTGATAACGAAGCCAAATAAAAGTACGCTCTAATTATAGTTGATTAATTCAGCTGTCCTGCTCCATGGTGTGTGTGTGCAACACTGCCCTTGACTTGGTTGGACAGGTTTCACCTTCATACTGCTTGCAACCAGCAAGGTTTTCACAGTATGGTCGCAAGGTTCCTTCCATTTCTATAGCCACACCCTAATTCAGGCAGTTGTAACCTCTCCCCTGGACTAGAGCAATAGTCTTCCAACTGGTCTTGTAGCTGGTAGCCTCTCGTTCACTTTGCTCCTCACTGTTTCCCTGTCTTTCTCCTGTACCTGGTTTCCAAATTTAGTGTAGTATTTATCATCTCTGCTTATGGGTCTGTGTTCCTTAACAAGCTGTTGAGTTCCTGGAAGGCAGGAATTTTATTTTAGGTAGGTACTCCTTCTGCTATAATACTATTTCCGAAACTTGGGTAATCTGCACACCACCTACACAATCTTTGCCAATCTGTACCTAGGTATTATTATTCATTCAGTATTTTTATTTAAAGCCTATTTCAACTCATTAAAAAATTCTGGCTTTATCCTAAACCATAATACTCTGTGAAATCAAGTTTGTTGTGTTCCTTATTTTTATTCTAGTACACATTAACTACAAAAAGTTTAAATTTCCATCCATGGACCACCTAAAATCACATCATGTACTGTATACTGCAATGGGGCAGAGCATAACCCGAATACGTAGCATATAGAGTCATTATAACTGTATTTGATCCACACTCTGTCCATTAGCTCAAGCAGCATATCCTCCAGGAATTGCCTCCCTCAGGCATGGGTTAGATGACCCTTCTCCCCATGCCTTCATACTTCACTTTAATTGTAGAGTAGTTTTGTTGTTGTTGTTTCCTTGTTTGTCTCACTATACACTTCAGGACAGGCACTAGGAATTTTATCTTCTAGGTTTTCTATCTCGGTGCCTAGCACAGTCACTTAGTAAATATTTGTTGAATGAATTTTTGGCTTAGTTTGAGACTGGGACAAAGATTTGGGTGCAGGTATTTTATTGGGAAGTGCTTTCAGGGAACAAAATTGATAGGTCAAGGAGAGTGAGAAAAGAAAGAAGAAATGTTCAATATAATTGTCCATTATTGAGGCGACCGTTTATTCCTCAAGCACCTCTGAAAAACATACAGAATACCTTTCTGGATTGTCCATCTTGAAGCTACGGCATTCATTCACCACTAACATCCTGTATTGGTTGAGGATTTCCCTACGGCTATTAACTTTCTACCCTTCTGGATTACATTTGTGCACAGAACGGAACGGGCTTCCTTAACCTGATATAAAAAAGCAGAGTCAGCCAGGCACAGTGGCTCACACCTGTAATACCAGCACTTTGGGAGGCCTAGGCGTGTGGATTACCTGAGGTCAGGGGTTTGAGACCGGCCTGCATGGTGAAACCCTATCTATGCTAAAAGTACAAAAAAAAATGGCCAGCGTGGTGGCACCTGCCTGAAATCCCAGCTACTTGGAAGGCTGAGGCAGGAGAATTGCTTGAACTGGGGAGGCAGAGGTTGCAGTGAGCGGAGATTGTGCCATTGCACTCTAGACTGGGCAACAAGAGCAAAACTCCGTCTCAAAAAAATTTAAAAAAAAAAAAAGCAGCGTCTGTAGGTTTCCTCTTAGGGTGGGATATCGGCAGCATAAATCTGAGCCTGCACAGAACTGTGGCTACTGCTGTGGCTGAAATCAGAGCAGGGAGGAGCTAGGAATGTGACTCAAGACATCTTACACCTACCTCTGTTACCCAGGCTTTCCTGTTTTATATCCAGAAGACTGACATGGACATTTTACAAAAGAAAGCATTGACTAGTCAACTCCTAAGCTTGGAGATCAGGAATCATGCTCCCAGTTCTACTTTTGCTGATAAATAACTTTAGGTATACTCTTCAAATTTAAGTAATGAGTAGAAATTGGAGGACAAAAGAAATTTTTGATTCAGCCTTCATGTAATAACAACAAAAGTTAAGGCTGGGTGTGGTGACTCATGCCTATAATCACAACACGTTGGGAGGCTGAGGCGGGTGGATCACCTGAGGCCAGGAGTTCAAGACCAGCCTGCTCAATATGGTAAAACCCCATCTCTACCAAAAATACAAAAATTAGCCCAGCATGGTGGCATGCACCTGTAGTCCCAGCTATTCAGGAAGCTGAGACAGGAAAATTGTTTGAACCTGGGAGGTGGAGGTTGTAGGAAAAAGAAAACAAAACAAAAACAAAAAAGAACAACAAAAAATAGTTAAATTTGGCACTGTGGTAAGGAGAGGAAAATATCCAGGCTGACTACTCTGCAAACAGAAATGAAACTTCTCCTTGTCCTTCCATGGCTCTTAGAGCAGTATTAATTTCAGGAAAAAAAAATGACAACAAAGTATAAGTTTCATGAAGAAAAAATTGAAATGCAAAACAAGTAGCCAGAAAGAAATCTGAAAAATCTTTATAAATATCTATGTGGAACTGCCCAGGATGAGAAACAAAGCCAGAGGGAAATATATCTATACAAAAATAGGAAAGTTTAAAGTTAGGAAGATAGGTGTAACCCAAAACCTGAATGGTCCCAAAAGGAATTTAGAAAAATCATTAAAAATACTGGAAAACAGATTAAATACTTTAAATAAATAAAAAAGAGAAAATGGACTAACAATGCCATAGAGATACAATGCAGTTCAACAGACACTAGCTACAGGTTGTCTTGTGAATGCACAGAACTAGACTTCTCAAGTGGAATAAAGACATGGTTCTTGCCCTCAGCAGACAGGAGTAAAAGTGAGACCATGAGGCTGGCCCCATTGGCTCATGCCTGTGATCCCAGCACTTTGGGAGGCCGAGGCAGCTGGGTCATGTGAGGTCAGGTCACACCTGACCAATATGGTGAAACCCCATTGATATAAAAATGCAAAAATTAGTGGGGCACAGTGGAGCGTGCCTGTAATCACAGCTACTCAGAAGGCTGCGACAGGAGAATTGCTTGAACCCAGGAGCAGGGGTTGCAGTGAGCTGAGATCGCACCATCGCACTCCAGCCTGGTCAACAGAACAAGACTGTCTGGAAAAAAAAAAAAAAAAAAAAGTGAGATTGTGAGAGGTTCAATAATTTGCTTAAGGTTGCTTGGGAAGGAAGAGGCTGAATCAATTATTTGGGTACAGGTTTCTCTGGTTCCAAAGTTCTTTCCAGAACTCTTACAGTCCTATGGGACTTGACAGGACTTTCCCAGATGAGACTATACTGAATGTTCACCTAAACAACCAGCCTATAAAGGAAAAGCCACAAGGGCTCTGCAGTGGGAAATAAGTAATTCATCAGGTCCACAGAGCATGAGAAATGTACATGCCTGGCTGGGCCCAGTGGCTCATGTCTGTAGTCTCAGCACTCGGAGACCGAGATGACAGATCACTTGAGCTGAGCTCAGGAGTTCAAGAGCAGCCTGGGGAAGGTGGCAAAATCCCATTGCTACCTAAAAACAAAACACAAACAACAACAACAACAAAAAACACGCAAAAATTAGCTGGACATGGTGCCTTGAGCTTGTGGTCCCAGCTACTTGGGAGGCCTACGTGGGAGGATGGCTTGAGCCCAGAGGCAGAGGTTGTAGTGAGCTGAAACCACGCCACTGCACTCTAGCCTGGGTGACAGAGTGAAACCATGTATCAAAATAAAAAATAAAAAGAAAAGAAAATAAATATGTATATCCCTAAAGTAGAAATAGTGAGAAGTTTACAAAGTTTTAAAATTAGAAACCACAGTAAAAAAGAAAATGCTCATTTAAAAATTGAATTACTGGCCAGGCGCGGTGGCTCAAGCCTGTAATCCCAGCACTTTGGGAGGCCGAGGCGGGCGGATCACGAGGTCAAGAGATCGAGACCATCCTGGTCAACACGGTGAAACCCCGTCTCTACTAAAAATACAAAAAATTAGCTGGGCATGGTGGTGCGTGCCTGTAATCCCAGCTACTCAGGAGGCTGAGGCAGGAGAATTGCCTGAACCCAGGGGGCGGAGGTTGCGGTGTGCCGAGATCGCGCCATTGCACTCCAGCCTGGGTAACAAGAGTGAAACCCCAACTCCAAAAAAAAAAAAAAAAAAAAAAAAAAAAAAAATTGAATTACTGCTATGGTAGAATTCTAACTTACAAATGTAGGAGAAATGATAGAATTAGAAAATCAGGCTGGGTGCAGTAGCTCACGCCTGTAATCCTGACACTTTTGGAGGTCAAGGTGGGTGGATCACTTGAGGCCAAGAATTAGAGACCAGCCTGGTCAACATGACAAAACCCTGTCTCTACTGAAAATACAAAAATTAGCTGGGCATGGTAATACACGTCTGTAATCCCAGCTACTTGGGGGCTGAGGCAGGAGAATCACTTGAGCCCAGGAGACTGAGGTTGCAGTGAGCTG